ATTGGGTCGGGGACTATGATACTCATATATCCAAAGGATATAGGTTCTTTGAAAACTCCAGTAAGTGGAGGTGTCCATCTAAAATTCTCAACTGACGAAGAAATAACAGTCGTTAGAGGTGGGTGTGTGTGTGTATATATATATATATAGAAAAATCTGAGTGACATTAAAATTTTATGTATTTTTAGTCATAGTTATCATTTAAAGTGTTCTTTTAGAAATAAATATGAATTTATAAAAAAATATTTAATTAATTTTAAAATTTTATTTATAATATTATAGTATCTTTTAATTAAATTTAATAAACTATTAAAAATTAATTAAAAATGTTATTATCATGTTTTTATATAAATAATGTTAAAATCATTTATTTAAAAAATATAAATAAAAATATAGACTAATAAAATAATATTAATACAATAATGTTAATAATTTTATATAATAAATAATAAAGTTCAAATAAATAAGGGGTAAACTTATGATCATCTAACTATTTAAATACTTCAATAATATTAAAATAATAACAATTATAATAAAATTATAAAGTTCAAACAAAATAAGGGGTAAACTTATCACCTTTCACTTTGATCACTAATATTTTGATTTTTTTAATAATAAAATCATCTAATTATTTAAATATTTCAACCAGATAACTTGTCTTTAATATTTAACATAGGATGATGTGATAGTTAAAATTGATATAATTATTTATTTAATCCTCAATATTTACATGTTCTATCAATTTAGTCATCATTTTAATTTAATTAAATAAATTTAATATCCAATTAGATGGTGACATATATATCATTAAATGATTGGAGCATAATTTTTTAATTTTATCTTATTTAATCAAATTTATTTTGACTATTATGTGGTTAAAATTTAGGATTTTTGCTCTCTTTTTTACTTTACCCTTGTCGTCTCGGGTGGGCCCGAAATTGAGCTTCGTCTTAAATAAAACACGTTAGAGCCGCCACTGATCATTTGCTTTTTATTTTTTTAAATTAGGTTGATCAGAAACCTTCTTACCTCATCTGTGTTTTATCATAAATATGTCGGATTCGGGAGTCGGTTAAAGTCAATGAAGGATTAACACCCTTGAACTGCCATTTCGGTACCATTTTAATTTATCGGTTGTCTTAATTGCGAAAATTAAAATTTAACGACTTGATTCGAATGACTTACAATTGATTGGTTGAAATTACCTCTAAAAAAAGTCAAAAGAATGTTAGATTGTAAAATAAAAATAAATAAATAAATAAAGGAAAAGAACTTAAGGGGTTAAAATAGGAACATAAGGGAAAAAAGATTTTTAAAAAATGTGTAAAAACATTAAATAAAATCAGGAAAAAAATTAAATATTTAAAAGAGAGAAAAAATAAATAATTAAATAATAAAGGAAAATTTGAAAGGAAAAATATAAAAAAAAATGCTAAAAGAAAACAAAAAAATGTTTTTTAGAAAGAAATAAAAAAAGGTTAAAAAATCAATAAATAGATAAAAAAAATATCTAATTCAAATAAATTAAAATTTATAGATTGAATTTATACTAAAAATGAGCTGCAAGGAAAAAAACAAAAGTTGGGGGACTAAATTGCAAAATGCAATAAATTTAAACAGGGATTAAATTGGAAAAATTCATAATTCCAGAGCCAATTTACAATAGGTTACCAAAATGAATTACGCTTTAAAACTGTAGGGACTGCGGAAATGATTTATCTATTTGCTAATTACAATGTGGCCCCTCCCCTATAAATAGCCCAAAACTTAGAAAAAAATCATTTTATCCCCATTCCAAAAAAAACTTATCAAACGCTTTACTCTCTCTTCCTTCTCCCCATCCGGCCGAATGGTTGGCCACCGTCTAGCGAACCTCCTCCGTTGCCAGCCGTCGCGTTGAAAATCTCCCCGGCCACCACCCACAGTGGTCGGAGACCTATAAGTTACCCCCTTCGAAAGCCCTCAACCCCATGAATCCGAAATCAAAGCCCAAATCCCCAAAATCCCCCCAATTCAGCGTAGATCTAAAAAAGTTCATTCGGTTTTTTACCTTTCCCGGCGTACTTTCTAACTTCCAACGACTTCTTCCTCTCCGACGACACTCTCACGTGTTCCCGCCGACCCTTGATGAGGCAAAGCCTTGCCTTTTGGTTTCGGTTTCGAACGTTTAAGGTTTTGTTTTTTTCTATTTTTTTTGGTTTGGTTGTTTTAGGTTTTGGCCGACTATTGCTTGTGTTTGGTGGTCTTTTTTTTTCTTTTGCTCGATGTTTTCGTTTATCTCGGTATTGTGATGGTCGTTTTTAATTTTTGGAGATGTTTCTTGGTTGCCTTTGTTTGTTCACCGTCCGTTGCTTGGCCTCACTGGGGGCTTTTTATAGCCCCCGTTTTTGCCGTTTTGAGTTTCGAGCGGGACAGATTCATGGGTTGTTTGTTGAGTTACTCGTTCCGACTTTCTCGTGTACGTCGTTCGGCCGATATTTTAGGGATGGTTTAGTCCCGAACTCGACTGGTTGTTGGCCTCCAATCTCCACGCTTCGTGCGTGGCTTCCACGCGCCATATGTGCAGCACCATTGCAAAACCTAAAAAACCCTAATCGGGTGTGGGCTGGGTCAGGCCCTTTACCCGACTAGATTCTGCTGGACTCGGTTTTGGACCTTTTTGGGCATGAAAAAGAAAACAAAAATAAAAAAAAACAAATAAATAAATAAATATAATGTAAATAAAAAACTATATAATATAAAAAACTAATATTATATATTTTCAAAAAATACTTTCAAAAACTACATTATATATATTTTCGAAAAAATATTTCTAAACTATATTATATATATTTTCAAAACGTTTTAAAAATATATATATATATATTTTCAAAATATTTTCAAAAACTATATATTTTTAAATGTTTTCAAAAACTGTATATTGTATATGTTTCAAAATGTTTTAAAAATTATATAATATATATTTTCAAAAATGTTTTCAAAAATATATTATATATATATTTAAAATGTTTTCAAAAGTATATATATATATGTTTTCAAAATTTTCAAAACTATTAATATAATCTCGAAAACCGTTTTCAAAACTATATAATATATATATTTTCGAAAACTGATTTTTTTAAAAAGTGTATATTATATGTTTTAAAAGCTATTTTCTAAAAACTATATATTGTATTTTCAAAAATATTTTGGACAAAAATGGGTGTACAACTCTAAATCCTAAAATGGTTGTTGCGTCATTTGAAAAGGATTTTAAGCTTCTTTAGTTTTAAAAGGTTGATAACGCACCTGTTATCTATGAGTTTTAATGTTTATGTTGCTGGGCTGCTGGCTTGAAATGCCTTATGATATTTGCCCGTATATGAAAATGGGTAAAACTGGTCCCAATATTGTAGGTGAGCTAATTATTTAGTCAATACAGCATCAAGTAAATTATTTAGGGATCTATTATAATTATATAGTACAGGGAGACTCGTCACGTCGACAATAAAAAAATTATTTAAATTTTTTAACCCAATGTGATAAATTCTATTAAAAATTATATTTTATTAGAACACGTTACATCGACGTGACGAATTTTTCCTATACTTTAACATTTGTCATAGATCCCTGAATAATTTTGAAGACGACTTAATGGGCTAATTTTTTTTAACCCACTAACCTATTGGGTCAATTTCGCCACTAAAAATATGTTGTTTTAGTATAGGCATTCAACAGTGCGTCTGTATCCCCTTCAGTTCAAGTTACTTCCTACATATCTGTTATTACTACTTTTTTATTTTCGGTCCATTCAACCTCGACTGTTTTTCTTTGCAGTTCCCACTTGATTGTGGTTGTTTGAAGTCTGAAATATCTCCATTTTTTAACTCAAAGGTGTAAATTAGGTTTGTAGCTTGAGATCGGATTGTTGGAGCATCTTGTTTCATATATGTCAGGTGATCGGCGATGGAGAAGACAAACAGCATGGAGGTGTGCAGTGCAAGTGAAAGATAAGGTTAGGGGAAAAATATTATAAACGGGTCAATTGATATTTTATCCCTAAATTATTTTAAATTTATAAAAAGACCTGTGATTTTTTATCTAAAGTCAGAGGGTTAAAATAAAAATTAAATCTTTCTATTAATGTGACACATCATCAAACTAACAACAGCTAACATCTCTGTAATCAAATCTTAAAAAAATGTTAACAGAAGTTATCAAAACTTATGTTTTTATATTAGTAAGAAAAAATGTACAATATTAAATGAAATTGACCAATTATGTATTTTATCCATAAGATTATACAATTCCAATAATTAAATTATTTAGGAATTAAAATAATAAAAGGGTAAAGACGTTAAAAATTATAAAATGATCTTTCGACTATGGTCCCCTAATATAGTGTACCATTTTGTTAAGTCCTTCAATTATTAAAATTACAAAATAATCCTTTACTATAGAGTGCTTTGTTAAGTACTTCGATTATTAAAAATACAAAATAATCATTCGACTATTCATTATGTTCCAAACTTGTCCTTTCCATTAAAAAATAGACAATATTTTGAGTTGAACATTAATTTGTTAACTACAATATGATAAAATTTGATTCTCAAAATCTCCAATGATTATCATATTCTAATCATGTTAACATCTAGCTTAAATAATTGTCAATTTTTTAACGAAAAATAACTAATTTAAAACATATTAAATAGTCGAGTGGCCATTTTATAACTTTAAATAATCAAAAATCTCAACATTGAATATTTCATAATCAAAAAACCATTTTATAACTTTTAACAATTAAAGACTTAATAAAACAATACCCTATAATAAAATACCATTTACCTTCTTTAAGAAAAACCTGAAATGATTTGGAATATCATTTACTTTTTTTATTAAATGATGTACATTTTCAGCCAGAAACACAGCATCAAAAAAATAAATATCAAATTATAAAAAAAAAACCAATCCCACCAATAATAGATTGACATGTGTGATGGTAGAAATACAAATGTCATCCAAATATGCCAGAAAGTCACCCCACTTGATGGATGAGCCCAACCAAAGCATAGATAACAAACAAATACCATCTACAACTGTCTGTTTTTTATAACTTATTACAAAATCCCCCGACCCACCTTAAAAAACAAAACTTGTATTTTCCCTCCAATCCTTAGCTGAAAGTGAGCGGTAAAACCCCCTTCATAACTGCCATTTGAATTGACAAATAAGTAATGGACGTATATATATTCCAAGGAAAAGAACAGAATCTAACGACATTTTGAACTAAGCATTGATGAATCCACCCATCAAATACACAATTCCTTTCATAAGCAGCTCTTCAATAACATCACTCTATTTTCTAAGCATTATTATTAACAGAACAGGATCCAACACGCCTAACCATGCTTCTTGATGCCTTGGCATTTGGAAACTCCACAGCATCATCTTCCTCCTCTCCTCCTCCTCATCACTTCTCTTTCTCTTAAGCTGTGAAGAAGTAGATGGCAGCCTGAACATCTCATCATCTTCAACGTCTTCCTCATCTTCTTCTTCTTCTTCATTACTGGGTCCGTATCAATTCCTTCAGCATCATTCTTCTGCTTGCACCACTGGTTGAACCAGGTAACCTTCACCATAGTCATCATCCTGCCATTCCAATCAACAAATTTTAGTTTAGAAACAACGAGGTTAATTTAAAACATCACAAAATCCACCAATAGAAGCCTACATACAACTCCAATTAGCCAAACTGAAAAAGAAACCCTAAACCACGCAAAATATTTTAGCCCCAATAATTTATAGATCAAATGTTAATAATTACAACAATACCAAAAAAATCAAGAACTAAACTACTGCAGCAACACAAAATTATACTCGAATGCCGGTGTTTTTTCTTAATGAAAGATAATAAGTTTCTTTTAATAATCCGCAACAAAAAGCTACTCAATCAAAAATGTAAAATGGAAGAATAGATCGAGACAAAGAAGTTAAGATGAACATGAAATTATCAACTAAAAGGTTCCAAAAATCATTAATAATTCACTCAGAACACCATAACTAGAAAATATTTAATAATAGAAACTTCATAAGAAAAAGGCAGCCACGGACACCATTAGGGATGGCAATGGGCAGGATCTAGTTAGACCCAAATCCAAAACCATTTTCGCATCTTGGATCCAAACCCGCCCTGGATCCACGGGTCTAGAAAATTGGAACCCAAATCCAGATCTGACGGATCTTGGTCCAAAACGGGTCTGCTAAAAAAAGACCATTTGACCTTTTTTTTAAACGTAATAAAACTATCATTGACCAATTTCACATCACATTTCCGATGGAGGAAAGATTAATTTCAATACAACTAGTAGCAGAATAAAAAAACGATAAACTAAAGTCTCAAAAAACTCCAACACAATTACACAAAATGTCTTTTGAATAACACAAAACATAAAAAAATGTAGATCATGAAACATTCTATTGTCTCAAGCCAAGTACCGCACTTTTACCTCCTTAGAGTGCTAGTCTTTATCACTACTTAAATCATCAACATCCTAAAACAAACAACCAACCAAAGAGAATTTTGTTTAATGAAAATAATATTTGCAAAATTTAACTATTAATATTAAGGTTATGTAATATTAATATTTGTAAAATTTAAATATTAATTTAAAACTAAAGGTGGGCTTTTCTATAAACGAATCCAGACCCGGTATTTTAGTGTCAGATCTGGACCCGGATCCATACTTTAATCAGAGGATCCGGTCCGTATCCGTCGGGTCCAAAATTTTAGGATCCAGACCCTATAAAACGGATTTGGATCTACGGATTCGGGATTGGGTCCAGGATCCATTGCCATCCCTAGACATCATAAAGTGACTTATCAGCTCTAAAACTGTATTACCCAAAAACAAAGATTTAAAATTGTAATTTAGCTGCAATCCATAGAACATTAAGTTTGCCAACCAAGTTGACATAGATCTGTAAATTAACTGCTTAGTGAACTAAAACAATATTATCAGAGAACCAGAAGACAAAAATAACAAATACCATTCAATCTAACCAACGAAAAATCTTTTCAGACAGAACCTACAACTTCCTTCTGGCAGGGTCATTACAAAAACAGGCATACACACCTACTAGACAGAACAAGAAAACAGGTTTCTTCTCATGATAAAACCACAATTTCAATAGCCTGAGGATAAAGAAACCACTTTCAAAGGGCTTGCTCTCAATTAAAACTTCAAATCTAGTACGCATTAAGGTAATTACTTTACTGTTCTCACCATACAAAGACTAAAAAGAATGAAAGAATGATAGAAACTGTAAATGTGCATTAGCTCTTCTGTGAGAACAACGGACATACATAATTTGTAATGTATATATGACTATAAACTTATAATTTGGAAACACTTGGCCAGCAAAAGACAAAAGCACAACACTTTTTCTCATGATGCTTGAGAAAACAAAAGCACATTGCATTCAAAACATGGTAGCACGCCGGTTATTTCCTTGAGAGAAATCTAAAAAGCCCATATCAATCAAACAATCACTCAAGTTACAGCATAACAAAACAACAAGCAGAAATCAGAAACCAAAACAAATCAAACAAGGTGAAAAATAGAAGAACGAGTGGTTGTATTGTAAGTAATATGAAACCTCACCTCCTCTTCACTCTCTTCATCTTTATATTCCCCATCATCACCAACACCTAGCTCTTCCTCACCAGTCACAACATTTTCATCATCATCCCCTTCTTCTCCATGTTCATGCCCATCAATCTCACCTTCTGTGCTTGTCAAACGTCCAGTACTCTCTGGCTCTGCAAAGTCACCTTCATCATTATCTACCTCTTCCTCCACTTCATCCTCATCTTCCTCTTCATCGTCGTCTACGTCATCTTCCTCATCATCATCACTATTCCCAATATCATGAACTTCCACAACATTATCTTCCTCATCATCATCATCATCAACTTCCTCACATGAACCATTCTCATAATCATCGTCCCCATCTTCAACTCTCCCTACTTCCTCAATCCGAAACCCATTCCCCTCATGGCTTAACCCATTCACTCTTCCACCTATTTCAGTCTCTTCTTCATCTGCATCACTCTCCTCATCCTCATCAACATCAACAATCTCTTCCGCACCTTCGCTGTGCCCATTACTTAGTCTGTGATGCTGATCGTCACCATCAATTTCCCCAGCCCCTGGATCATCTTCAGCCTCCTCCTCTTCATCTTCCTCGTCATCAGATTCCGGCCTTTCATTCTCTTCAGCATCCATTTTATCTAAATATTTCAACGATTTAATAAATCCAAAAACCCTAGATCGATAATCTTTAACTCTGGTTACCGGGCAATCATAAAGATCAAGGGACACAAGCTTAAGCTGGGCAAGCGGGGCAAGATTTTCAATATAATGAATCCGATTGTTAGACAAGTCAAGGTCTCGGAGCGAGTCAAGGCCAGCTTCAACGAGAAATTCTAGGCCACCGGCGATTCTGTTGTCTGAGAGGATTAATTTCTGGAGATTTAGAAGGCGAGGAAACTGTTCAAGAGATGACACGCCAATATTGGCAATTGAAAGATGTTGAAGATTTCTAAATTTTTCCGACATGCTAGGCGAGGGGAGGCGACCTTGAACGCACTTAACCGCACCGTCAAGAGTCAAGGATCTAGCCGTCGCGTGGTCCGCTTGCCCGTCTAACGCTGTCTCCACCGCTCTCTCCCAGATATCGTCCATCAAATACTGCACCGTTTTTATCTCATAAATAAACAAATAATGATTACACAGCTTCTTTCATGTCTAAGGACGTGATGGGCTCAAAAGGATGGTTCGAAAAGGAAGATACGAAGGTGATGAAGGAAACTACAACATTTCAGATGAACACAAACGAAACCCTAACCATGGATTTTGAAGATTGAAGCTTAGTTCTTTTTTAATGTATTCGGACGGCTTAAAAACCTAGAAATTTTGATTTTTACCAGATGTACGGACTCTGTTCTTTCAAGTTCCCAGCGCTTGAGGATAAAAAAAACACAGGTTAAAAAGATGTTTAAAAAAGAGGAACCCTAATTTCAAACTCGTATATCTTGTTTCTTATTGGTTAATAGGAGTGGACGAGTCGGGATAAACCTCGTAGATGCGGTTTTAATTGAGTAGTTATTGTAGGGATGTAAACCTTTGGATTGAGGAAGACACGGATCCTTGACGTGGAAGAAATGAACGGTAGAGACTGGAGGATGGTGTGTCTGTTCTCGAGAAGGATGTACTTATATAGATGAGAGAGAATGAGCTGGGCCTGGGGCACAGGTTTGACAAATGACACGTCACTTTGATGGCAAATATCGGGACTATTGTACTACAAGAATACCTATCACGTTCAAGAAATTTACGGAAGTGCCACCAGTTTAAGTAAGCAGGCAGGTCCGAAAAATCTAATAGTCCACTCCAACCCAACCAGCCCAGCCTGCTATGTTTCAAACTCGGTACTAAAATTTAGAGGTGGCAAATGGGTCATTCGGATCGGGTTTGAGTCCAGTTATTTGGGTTTAGTACCAGTTTAAGTACGCAGGCAGGTCCGAAAAATCTAATAGTCCACTCCAACCCAACCAGCCCAGCCTGCTATGTTTCAAACTCGGTACTAAAATTTAGAGGTGGCAAATGGGTCATTCGGATCGGGTTTGAGTCCAGTTATTTTGGGTTTAGTTCGGATGTACGATGTATTGTATTGGGTCTGGTCAATTTTTGGGTTGAGTGATTATTAGATCGGTGGTTTTCAAGTTCGTATCAATATCAGATCGGTTGATTTTGGATCGAGTCAATATCAGGTCGGGTCAATACCGGATCGATTGATTTTTGGGTCGGATATACTGGATCAGTTAGATTTTGGGTCGGGTCAATATCGGATCGGTTGATTTTCATTGTAGGTCAGCATTTAGATCAGATCAATTCGGGTTAAATTGGTTATGAGTCTAATCAAAATCAAGTATATATACTTTTAAAAATAGAGAAAATAACCTCAGTGACCAAAAATCCCATATAATATACGATTTTGACCAATTTTTTTTGTATTTGCGAAAATGACCAACAAAATTGCAATGTGATCTTTAATTCGCATTGCGATCTCCACTATGACAAATTCGCGTTGCATTTCGCGTTGCGATAGTTGAAAATCGCGTTGCGATAGTTGAAAATCGCGTTGCGATTTCGCGTTGCGATAGTCTACAATGTCGTTGCGATAGTCTACAGTTGTTGTTGCGAAAGTCTACAGTTGTCGTTGCGATTTTCCAAATTCGTTGCGATAGTTAAAAAAAAGATTTTGTTTCTTAAGAATTTTCTCTAAAAAGATAGTCTCCGCGCGGACGTGTCGAAGACACTATTACCCACGACACGACCACGACCACGACCACGACCCGAGACGACGGCGGCGGCGGCGGCGCGCGAGAGTCCCTATTGTTCTCTATCACTCAACAGGAGTGGGAAAGCCAGCCTTAAATACCATTCCCAATAGTGTTTCCAATACTATGTGGGATTTGAGCATTACCAACACTTGTTCCCAATACTATGTGGGATTGAGCCTTAAATAGTGATATTATTTTGAATGTTTTGCTTAAAATTGCAATAATCGCGATTGATTGTAGATTGACTTTTAATTATGACATATTTAATCGTATAATACTAATGCAATTGGTTGCTGATTCAGTTGTTTTAATGTGCATGATTGTTAATTGTTTCCTGAATAATCACATTGTATTGGAAACAAGTGTTGGTAATGCTCAATCCCACATAGTATTGGAAACACTATTGAGAATGGTATTTAAGGCTTGGCTTTCCCACTTCCTTGTTGAGTGATAGAAAATAAGGGGGACTCTCGCGCACCGCCGTCGCCGTCCGTCTCGTCTCGGGTCGGGTCGGGTCGGGTCGTGGTCGTGGTCGTGGTCGTGGTCGTGGTCGTGGTAATACGTGTCTCCGACACGTCCGCGCGGATACTATCTTTTTAGAGAAAATTCTTAAGAAACAAAATCTTTTTTTTTAACTTTCACAACGAATTTTCGCAACGAATTTGGAAAATCGCATCGACAACTGTAGAATATCGCAACGCGAACTGGAAAATCGCAACGCGATTTTCAACTATCGCAACGCGATTTTCAATTATCGCAACGCGAAATACAACGCGAATTTGCGATAGTGGAGATCGCAATGCGAATTAGAGATCGCATTGCGATTTTGTTGGTCATTTTCGCAAATCCAAAAAAAGTGTGTCAAAATCGTATATTATCTGAGATTTTTGGTCACTGAGGTTATTTTCTCTTAAAAATATGTCTTCTTATTTGTTAATTTTATCATTTAGGTTTAATTTCAATTCTCAATCGTTCAATATTTTGAATTAAACCATAATTTAGAGATGATAAATTGATAATTTGACACAAATACAATCCTATAATACGTGTTAGAATTTGTTATCAAATTTTTATATTGATCTCATATGAAAATTTTATAATGAGAACTATTTGATAAAGAAATAAATTTTTTTATTAAAATTTTTATTTCCAATTATAAATTTAATATTTTTATTAAATTTTTTCATTTATCCAAAAAAGAGCAGACAAGCTGATGTACAACGTATACCCCTATACAATCTATACAATTATATCAATCCCCAAGTAACACACAATTGCATATTTACAGCATCTAACCTGTTCATATGATATATACAATTTAAATCTCACAACATCCTTAACCCTACTTACAATAGTATCAATCGAACGAGCTACACCTCTAAAAAACCTGTGATTTCGTTCCTCCCAAGTGTAATAAATGAATCCAGTCCAAGCTAGCTTCAGAAGGTGAACCAGAAGAGACTTACCTTTGAGACTCTGTATCAACCACTGGAGGTGATCACTCCAGCATATGAACTCCTGGGCAATGCCACAGAAGAGAAGAATAGCACGCCAAATGCTCTTCGCAAAAACACACTCAGAAAAATGTGATTACGAGATTCAGTACCAGAATTACATAGCCCACACGCCATATTTGTAGCCAAACCAAATCTTGCTAGCCTATCTTTTGTAGCCAATCTGTCCAAAATTGCCATCTAAGAGATTAAAGAAAATTTAGGAACATGGCCTGGAAACCATACAAGGAGATGCCAGTTAACCTTCTCAAGCATATTTCGAATATTGTCCTATATCCAACTAACCTTAACTTGAGACCAACTGCTGCTAGAGTAAAACAGTCTCCAAGCATCACTTCTTAGCTTAAGCAGTTTAGCCAGAATCCAACTAAAATTAAGCTTGTTTCCCATATTCCAAAAGTTAGTAGATCTAAAACAATACACATTAATCCAAGCAATCTAGAGTGAGCCTTCCTCTGCTAAAATTTTCTTTATGAGTAGCAAACAGTAGGCTTTGCTCCAATCCAACAAGCTCCTTAACCCCAGGCCTCCCTCAGATTTCAAGGAACAAATCTGTCTCCAACTAACCCGAGTACCCCTAGCAGGGGTGTCACCACCTTTCCAAAAGAATCTCATACAAAGTTTGTAACATCCTCCATGCCGGGTTAGTGATTAATTTGCAAAGTTTCAACATTTGGTGATTTAAGTAAAATGATGGAAGAGTTCAATGACCTATTTGAGTTATTTGGTGTAGGATTGAATTATAAAGAAGGAAAATTAAGAGGGTAAAAGAGTAATTTAGTAAGTGAAATAATTAAATATTCCTTAAGGTGATTTTATAAATCACGTGGGAAGCATTTGAGATAAACAAGGTTCCAGACATTTCTCTTCTTCTTCTCCAACCGTGAAGCTTGCAAGCAAAGGTGAGTTGTCTTCTTTTGGATTAATTCTTATGAGTTAAGCATGGGTTGAGTTGTCTCTTTTGGATTAATTCTTATGAGTTAAGCATGGGTTTGGTTAATGAAGATTTAGGAATATGATAGAGAGAAACAAGGATCCTAGAACTCAAAGAATTGTAAGTTAAGGGAGATTAAAGGTTGGAGCCATTGAATGAAATCTTAGATTAAGGTCATAATAAGAATTAGAAGCTGGATTTGACTTGTCATCAGCTAATTAAGAAGTATGAGGTGATAGAATTAAATTAGAAACAAGTTGGAATTTGAGTAAGATTCTTAAATTCTATATGGATGATTAGTTTTTTAGTTTTAGAGGTATTGAATGGATAATAATTAGTTTAAGTAAGTGTATGAAAGCTAAGAGTATTAAAGGGAGTGAAATATGCATGTTTGAGCTGAAATGAGATGATTTTTTAGCTCAAAATAGGATTTCTGGGCTAGGGGAATCGGTACCCATTCAAGGGGAATCGATACCCCATCAACGAATATGATTTCCAGAATGCTAGAGGGAATCGATACCCCCAGGGGGAACCGATTCCCCCATATAAAAAAAAGAAGAAAAGAAGAAGAAAAAAGAAGAAGAAAGAATAAACTATTAATTCCTTAAATTGGTAGGCTATTAAAGATTAATTTCAAGACATAGACATCTGATAATCATCTTGAAAATTATGTTTATGTAGATACTGAGCCTACACGAGTTCTGGAACAATCTACAAGTAGGATCGATCGAGGAAAAGGCAAAGAAATATAGGTGAGTGCATATGCATAGCATAATTATAGAATATACTCAATTCTAGACTTGTGATAAGTCTAGATTTTATATCTTGGTACATGAGCATATTCTGTATTATGAGACATGACATGAATTCATATAAATGCATTATATGACATGATCGGCGGGAAAAGTTATGAGCTATGTGAAAAGGTAAGAATTTACATGTCTACGCGATATAGACTACGTGAAATGTAAAGCCCATGTTATGTAGATGAGAACTAGTATAGTTGGCATGCCAAGGGTAGAGGGTCTACGCGGTCCTTCAGGACAAAATTCTACGCGGTCCTTCGGGATATATATATTCTTTGGAACATGTGTGAAGTCTAGTGAGACCATACTTGATCCCTAGCATATGTATATGATTCTTAAGGAATTCTATGTGGTCCTTATGGACATTATTATAGGCACTATAGTGCAATTCTACGCGGCACTTCGG